GAGAAGGGATGGAACCAGGAAAAGGAGCAGGCGACAACACTTTAAACTTTGCAGGCTCTGCTGAAAAGGAGTTGAGGAACACTAGGAGAGACACATCAGGGGTGAATCTCAAGGGGAGGGCAGAAAGGAATGTTTCTGCTAATATTGAAGCAGCAACAGTTTTCAAGGCCTGGAACTCCAAGGCGGAGGGAAGGGGAGGCTTTGTGGGGAGTGGTGCCCAGGGAAGAAGCCCTGCCCTCTGCACCAACAATAGCCTGCTTCAGGATTTGAGCTTGACTCCAAATGAGACAAAGGAAAAGCCCAGAGAAGGTCATGGGCTGGAGGAATTCCAGAGAAGGAAGCAGCAGAGGTCACAGTGGTACAGGGATAAACATATCTGGGATTAGGGATGCAGGGTTTAAAGGGAAATGGAAATCGAGATAAATCTTAAATATGTATATGAATACCAAGGGGGAGGCAGGAGCCTCAAGTGAGCCTGTGGACTGGAGAGGACCCATTTTACATTTTTGAATTTTTCACAAAGACATGAATATTTCAAAGGTCATTCTCAGAGAAAGGAGGCAGAATGCATAGATTGGATTGTTTCCCTCAGGATATAGGAAGCAGAGTGCAAAATTAACCTCTTGTTGGTGGCTGTTTTTCAACATTACATTTGATAGTACTCAACTGGCATTGTAAAGACTGAAATAAAAATTGTATTTTTGATTTTTCACGTGCTCTCTGTCTTTCCTGCTTCCTCACCAAGTTTTCAAATCTCTTCTATGGTCATTCATTACCACCGGTCATGTTCTATGCTCTGGGCTCTGGAAACCTAACTGTGCTGTAGGAGTCTGAGCTTTGCTGTGTTTTCTAAATTCTGTGGGTCAGGCCAACACTGGGATATGGTTCAAATGCCTACTAAGTGACTTTCTAGAAAAAAAAGAAAGGGATACTAGAAAGATTCAAGGTTGGATTAATTGAATTTTGGAGGGGGCAGACGGTTATCCTCATTTCAGTAGAAGAGGCCCGCTGCTGTTATAGAAGGAAGGCCTTCAACTTTACTTCTGGCAACGGAGTGAGGGTGTACTGGCTGGGAATGAGCACACTAGGAGGAAATTGGAGACTGTGGAGTTGTAGACTAATATTTCTTTGAATTTTAATTTAAAAGAGAGAAAGCCAGGCATGGTGGCTCACGCCTGTAATCCTAGCACTTTGGGAGGCCAATGTAGGCAGATTGCTTGAGCCCAGGAGTTCGAGACCAGCTTGAGCAACACGGAAAGACCTCAGCTCTACAGAAAATACAAACATTATCCGGGTGTGATGGTGCATGCCTGAAGTCCCAGCTACCTGGGTAGCTGAGGTGGGAGAATCATTTGAACTCAGGGAGGTCGAGACTGAAATGAGTCATGTTCATGCCACCTCACTCCAGCCTGATGAAACAGCAAGACCATGTCTAAAAAAAAAAAAAAAAAAAGAGAGAGAGAGAGGAGTATTTTGTTTTGAACTTCAACTTCTGTCTGAATATTAGAATGAGAGATTTGTATTCAAATGTATGTGATCACTTGGGGCCTTTTATGCTATCACAAAGTGCGTGTTAACTCTCGTGAGCTATGTCGTGTGACTGGGCATTGTGGGAGAGAGTGAATTTTGGCTGAGGGTACAGAAGAACCTGGATATTAATGAACGTACCACTCTGATCTATCCAGAAGCATCCAGAAATAAGAGCTGCATTGTCTTTTTCATGGGTCCTGGGAGGATACACAAGGACAATGATTCTCCAACGAATGTGGCCCTGGGCAATGCCACTGCTATAACCCTTTACAACCTTCCTTACCTCACCTCTACAATGCCCAAGGTGACCTCAGAAGTCTGCCTAAGGCTGGAAGCCATAGGTTGAATCACACTGGCCTCGGTGGTCAGCAAAACCACTTACTTCTTTGTACACTATAGTAGCTTTTATGCAGGAACGAGAGGGAACTCCCCAAAGCAAAGCATCATTCCTGATTCAGGGATTCAGATTAAAACAACCTCTTTGAACTCACCCACTGCATGTTTTATAAGACTAGGTTCTTGTGCCTCTCTCCACACTAGGTGTTTCCAGAAGGAAGGCATACGAAATGGTGGTCAGTAAAATTGACATTTGGTTGCATGTTTTTTAAAAAAAATGTTTTTTAATTTAAAAGTCTTATCAAAGTAAGTAGTGGGAGTGGAGAAGGAATAAAGTAATCTGTAACTGGTTGTAATCAATTAGTTGCAAACACTACTGCACTTGGACCAGTCATGTCTCTTTTTAAAATGGGGATTTGGCCAGGCGTGGTGGCTCATGTGTATAATCCCAGTACTTTGGGAGACCAAGGCGGGAGGATCACTTGAGGCCAGAAGTTCGAGACCAGCCTGGCCAACATGGTGAGACCTCATCTCTACTATAATTACAAAAATTAGTTGGGCATGGTGGTGCATGCCTGTAATCCCAGCTACTAGGGAAGCTGAGGCAGGAGAATCACTTGAACCTGGGAGGTGGAGGTTGCAGTGAGCAGAGATCACATGAGACTCTGTCTCAAAATAAATAAATAAATAAATAAATAAAAATAAATAAATAAAATGGGGATTTGGTGGAAGTCTAGTCTATAAGGACAGCCATGTACAAATCTATGGTTTGGGAGAAGGGGCGAGCATATGAGATTTTGTGATTTTTAAGGGGTTAGACCCACACTTTACCATACTCTCTAAGATGACTGCTGGCTGCCAGAGTTGATTCTTCCAGCTAGCGGTAAACATATCGGTGTGACCCAAAGATGGGAACAAGGTGGCCCTAACATACTGCAGCTCTCCCTTCCTAATGACCGTAGGCTTGGTGCTAAGGCAAGCTAGAAAACAACATTTGGAGAATGTTGGAAAAAAGGGGTTGTTTACCTCGCATTCTTACATTTCCATAGAGGTGGAGACTTTTGTTTCCTCTACTTTGAGCGGGCAATATTGGATTGCACATCTCTGGCCCCTGTTAAATCCCTCTCTTGATCTTTGTGAAAAGTAATCAAGCCAAGTGTGGAATGCTGACATGGAAATGTCTCTACTGAAAGTGTGTCTAATCAATGAAACAGCTATATATGGACTTGTCTTTTGCTCTTCCTTATCCCATCACTAGGTGTGATGGAGATGGTCAGTTGTCTACAAAGTTACTGTGTGCAGCTATTCCCAGGAAGTGGCTGCCTAGCCAGGGACTACTTTTCTAATCCCCATGCCTACCCCTAACCCTTGCATTTAGGAATATGAATGGAAGGGAAGTCTTGGTCAAGGCTTTCAAGAAGTGGGTGGGCCTTCTTCACACCCTTTCCCTTCTGTGGGCTAGATATGAAAAGCTACAGATCCTTGGAGGACAGATGAGCCACAAAGTAGAAGCAGCTAGATCCCCGAATTACTTCAAGGAGAGGAAATGACCAGGGACATTTGCCTTGGGCTATACCGTAAGTGAGAAATAGCTTGTATTGCATTTGAGGCAGTATACATTTTTGGTCTATTTGTTATATCTATTTAGTACCACTCTAAGTAATACACTAGGTGGGTGAGTTAGACCCTAATTTTCCATGCAATTGGAAAAGGAAGTAATCGGAGCCTGCTTGCTCCCATAAGTATATTCCAATGTTTAGATTTGACGAGAGAACACGAGTCCTCCATTTTGGCTTCTGGTGACGCTCAAATCTCACCAACTCAACATTAGCAGATAGCTGTAAACTTTGGAGGCCAGTAGGCACTTAGCTTGTCCATTAATAAAAATGATAATTTGATTCCCACAGGCTGGGGATGCTTTGATCTTGTTTCTATCATTTAGAATTGTGACTGGGATAAGTGATTGTTACCTCAGCTTTCAACACATACTCGTCTCATACAGGATCTGGACAGAGCCTCATAGGAGAGTTACAGCATGAAAATGAGAATGTAATGCATGTGATGGCCGTAGAATAACATGTCAAAAGCCAGACAAGGAGTTCCATCCCACTCTATGGATGGGAAGACGGTGTTAAAGACTTGGCCACAGACTTAGGTGCGGAGGCCTGGTGTTCCAGCTAGAACACTGGGGACACCACATTCTGTAACACATCAAAACCTCAAAGGTCAGGGGTTCAATATGAGTGCAGACTATTGGAAGAGATGCTTCTTTGGGATGGCAGGCATAACAGATGGTAGAGATGCACATCTGTTGGGAGTAACATCTATCACACTCCTGAGAGCCTACAACTGAGTATTAGTTGTAACCTAGATTCCTTCCCCTGAAACATCTCTTGGGAACCACAATTTTCCTTATGACCAGATTATAGCAGACAAAGAGAAGAAAAGGAGAATCACTGGGCAAACAGCCATGACTTAGGAACTTAGAATTTATTATGGACAATACTCCTGGAATTTCTTTGAACTGGTACTTGGTGGATGGCTGCCAGTTGCAAGCAGACAAGATGGGGTGCTCTGTCCCTCTGTAATACAGCTATTGTTTACCCACAAATGATCCTTTCTTCCTTCCTTCTGATCTCCTGAGTGAAGAAGGTGGCCCATGAGGTCTCTGCCCCACCACCATGGCATGTAGACATTTCAGTGATTAGGGCAACAGTTTAGACCATCATCTACACTAATGCAGGCCTAGTTTGGGGAAAGAGAAGTTGCCAGCATGTAAGAAAAGAAATGTGCACAAAATACAAGTTTTTTGTTTTTGTTTTTTTTTTTTTTGCAACAAAAGAAACTATTTATTTGGAATATGCATTACCAGTACAAATTAGGAGACTGTAAAACCTACACCGTGTTAGTATCATTAGAGAACACAAAAGTTCAGTTGGAATCAAAAGGGACAGAAGCCTGTGCTCTCACAGAAGCAGAAAAGCTTAAACTTTCAAAACCAAAACAGAGCAGAGCTTTGCAGGTTTATACTCTGAATAAGAAGAAAAGGGGAGGGGTAGGGGGAGAATAAAACCAACAACCAAAGGAAAGCATTTCAAAATGAAAATGCCAAAGAAAAGAATAAGAGAGAAAAGGAGAAAAACATTGAATGTTTTATTTATTTTAACAAAAGAAAAAAAAAAGTTTACAAAAAATAAAAGATTCCAGAAAGCTTTGAGCTAGGGATTGAAACCATAAAGGTGATGTGAAAAGCTCATCATGTTGTTATGACTTCAAAAGTACAAGCGCTCGGGTAGGAATATTTCCTGAAGTGTTGCTCCACAATTCTGCATTATTACTTCACTTTTCTTGCTGAAGTTCTGATCACTTTCTGAACATAATTTGTTGAATAATGGATATTTAAAATGAAGTTTTTTCCAGATAATATGGCTTTCTTTTTTCCTCTAATAAAAACATTCCAAATCAAGCCAGTTTTGCAATTTGCTTTAAGCAGCTGCCTAAGTCAGAGGTTACTAAGAGGTGTACTCTGTGAAGTAAACTTAACCTCTTAGCATTAAAACTACAGCATTGAGCCTGGCCCAGTATCTCATCAACTCTTCATCCAAAACCAGGACTCAGCTGGCAGACTGGCCCCAAAGACTGCTTCCTGCATCTAGTTTACTTAGCCAATGGTGCCCATCATACCAGCATCTTCTGCAGGACTCTTCTGGAAGAAAAGGCCTCTGTAGTTGGAAGAGGCCTCATGGAATGTAGTTATTAATTAGGGAGAAAGAAAACAAAGTACTTGGCTGTGACAATCAGAATCAAAAATGGCAAAAACCTTTCCTGATAGCATAAAAAGTTTCCTTGGATTAAATGTTTTGAATTTTTAAAAGGCTAAAAGGAGAAGCATGTCCCTGATTTTATTTTTCTCAGGGACCGCAGGAGTGCCACACTCTCTGGAAATGCAGGTGAGCAACTAGACATCAACATGGGCTTGATCTTTGCTTTTGGCATTAACTGAATTGTGAAGCAAAGTAGAAGAACAAGCTTACTTGTTCTCACTACTCTGCCATGTCGCCTTTTCACATCACCTTGTATACATATTGAAGAAAAACAGCAAGATCATAATCCTGACAATTAAAAAAAGCCCCCCCACCAATAAACAAACCAAAAATAACACAAAACAAAACATTTTTTTTTTTTGTATTTTTAAGAGCAAGAATAAAGAAAAGAAAAGAATTTACTTCTGGGTCTCAAAGTTAATAAACATAATAATGTGTTAGGTTGTACCTATTATGCTCACTATTCCAACCTTTTTTTTTTTTAGTTTACAAAATGAATTACTGCCACTTTTAAACATTGTGAAACAAGAAATGGATGTGCACAACTCGACACTTTTCTAGCATTCTTGAACTAATTCACAAATGCAAGAAAATAAAAGAAAAATGAGGGAAATGATGAATGTAGGTAGTTTGGTGTTAAAAACTAATGCAGGAATGATGCGCATTGTCACAGAAAGAAGAAGGGAAATTCCCCATCCTGTTTTGCGTGCTATGAGGGTCATTTTTAAAATTTTTATTATAAACACTATTAAATTCAGACCGCTTTTTTGGTTTTTTTTTTCTTTATCTGAATATACAAGAACATTCATTATCAAATGTTCATCATCAATACTACAAAGAACGAGACACAAGTCGCAAGAAACAATGGAAAATGTTAATAAAGCTGAAAGAATTGTTGAGTATTTTTTTGTTTTTTTTTAAAGTTTTTTTTAAATTTGAGTTTCTGTAGTTTCATCTTTTTTGGTATCGAAGTCAGGTTTTTCTGGGCAGAAAAACAAAAAGCAGAAGGAAGGAGAGAGAGAGAGAAAAATGTGTGAGAAAAGGCAACCAGCAAATAAAGAACCACCACCATAGCAAAATAAAACATAAATTGAAAGAAGGTGCCACTTGGCAAATGTACTGCATGGGCGTCAATTCCACGCCAGGGGGAGGGGAGTTAGGGATGAAAAGGAGGAGATAATGAAGAGTTACAAGGTGGGCAAACCCAGGGTCTAGTATCGTTTCTCAGGGGAAATTCGCTGTCGGGGAAAATGGAGCACTCCCATATCTATTAGAAAATGAAGAAATCCTGGGGTGCATCTTGGTATCTGTAGGACTGGCCTAATGTAAATTCCCAGGAAGCTGTGTTTCCAGAGGCATGCTCTTTCCAAACCCATCCTGCTGCTCTCAGTGCTCTCCTGCTTCGCCTAATGTGGACAGATCTCACGGATGCCACGATGGATGTCGGAAGTGATAGTGGCCTTGCAGGGGGTGCCAGGGGGAGGTGCTGGGTGTAGAGAAGACTAAGTGAAGTGCTGGTTGGGGAAAATGCTGTGAAAGGTGATCATCAGTGCAAACTACTGCCCGGAGAGAAACTGCCTGTGCAAATGTAGCACTGCTCTGATATTTTGCATTAACTTAACACGGTAATCATTTCAAGCCACATCTGGAGTCACTCTTCTTGTTTCCAAGAGAACCCTTTCGTCTCTCTTTCGTACTTTGCCCTAAGTCAAGCAAATGTGATTCAACTATGTTCTTGTGTGAGTAGTTTCATTATATTCCTGCCACTAAGATGGAGTTGTCCACTGATTCTAATCACTACGAAGTTGTCACAAAAATGCTCCTTCTAGGCATCTGTTCTGATTAGGGCAGAAGTTAGTAGACACATCCTTTCTAGTGCTTTTTAGTCATCAAGGCATAATCTCATTTTGCTAAATATTTAGTTTTTGCATTTCCTTCAAATACACATTCCCTCAAGTTTCTTCAGAGGCAGCTCCTGCTCCCCTGAGCACACAGAGAGTGTTTGCTACTCATGACTGCAGTGCCATGCAGAATTTCCATGTCCTTGTTAGCTGCCCATTCTCACCCCTCAGGGTCTCATACTTCTCCCTGGAAGCCTCCCAAGCAGTCAATGTGACAGGGACCAAGTATGTACGAGGCAACATATTGGGTTCAAGTGCAAACTAAGTGAACCAGGGCCTATGTTTCTAGTTGGAAAGATTTTCTTTGTCCTAAGAAACCAGACAGACCAAAACCAAGAAGATCAACAAAAACTCTTCTCTTTGTCATCATGGTGATGACGTCAAGGTACTGATATTTACCAGAAGTTACAACAAGAAAATCATTTATTGTCCCTAGATGGCATGAACCCATTTATTTCAGGGACATTACTTCCCCTGACTTCGCATTTACAGATTGGATATGAATAAAATCAACTTCTTCAGTCTCTCAGAAGCCTCTTAGTAAGCCAGGCATAACAGTTCCCATCTCACAGATGAAGAAAATGAGGCACCAAAAGATTTGACCACCTCCCACTTAATCAAGTGATACAGCTGCCACCTTTATATCTTTATAGCTGGTAGGGTTGGCTATGAAGATGGTGAGCTCAGGGTACTCTCGAGAATAGCTTTCATGTACATGCTATTTTCTCATGTATTTTTAGTACATGCTGTGTTCGCAGGGAATAAAACTCACTGTGATGATTTCAATGAAAACATTATCTTCCCTTTCCCCATGATTCTCAGGTCCTCAAAGGAAGCTAGCAAAAGTTCACATGAGCCACGTTCTTATACAACTCTTTCCTCTAGAGCAATAGGTTAGGACCAAGAACATAGTGTGGTATAACATTTTGGAAAATTAATACAGTGTGCCTAATATAAAACAAAAAACGAAACAGAACCAAGTCCATTAAAGACATTGTAAGTACTGTATGTGGCTCCCTGAATGCTCCAGAGGGTGCGAACAAGAGTAGTTTACACTGGAAACCTGGTCTTCCTCAAGATCAGGTCCTGTGTATGCCATTCTGGTAAGTGCACGCTAGTGGGCCTGCAGGTTCTGGAAGCCACAGACACATACTGCTTCTCTCTGTCAGTGACCTTCACTTAGAGTCACTAATTCCCTCTCTCGGGCTCATAAGGTATAGTGCTACGGTTATTAATGTAGGTAATTGTATATGGCATCTTGGGAAAGTGAAGATGTGAGATGGTGCATGTGCCTACATGTGCATGAATGTATGTGTCTATGAAGGCATAGTTGAGGTTGAAGGGTTTCAAGATAAGAACTTTCTACTCCTTACTGATGCATTCATCACCATGCCTAACTCAGGGCCAGTTTTGTAGTAGGTTCTAAATATTGCTTTCTGAGTGTTAAATGGTCTCCAAAGACTGTGCCTCTGAAACTGAGAGCTGTTGATAGCAGGATAAGAAAGACTGTAGGAATTCTCCACCTGCTGTTCCCGTGTCCTTCCCTGCTGCCTGACTTCCTGCCTGGGATCCAACCTAGCGGAGATGAAAATGAAAAACGTGGCACCTTTAGAATCCCAGCTATGACAGTCCCCAGTGAATAGCTGGGGCTGGGAAGGAAGAGGAGGAAAGTGTTCCAATCAGTACTGTCCCCAGGGAGGAAAAGCAAGAGGAAGCAGGGAGGCCTGGAATGAGCAGGGCAATGTGGTGTATTCCTGCTAAGAGGTAGTGAGAATAATAAGAGAAACAGAGAAGGATTGCCTGTGAACATAGGGAGTCAGGGATCCGAGTGAGGTAAATTTGGCTCCTCAAACCACCAGCATGAAAACGTACAAACACTTTTATTATTTTCTTTGTAATTTTTTTCCTCTTTAAATTCATCTAATTGTTGAAAATATCCTTCAGTGATATGAGAGAGGACGGGGACCCCGGGAGTCTAGGACAGAGGCACAGGGGCAGGGAAGATGACGAAAACCAGGCTGACAGCTGGAGGCAGGGAAGGGTGGCTTCTACCCAGAAAAAAAAAAGGGAAGAGAGTATAAAGAAGTGTCCAGATTGGCTGAAATAGCATCCCAAAGAAGAGAAGAGAAGGAGACTCTTATTGTGTTTGCTGATTGCTTCGACCTCCAGTCTGACCGCTTCAGCGTTGGGAGAGAAACCCTCCCTCCTGCCCCTGCCCCAACTGGGGCACAGGGTCAGCCGGGATGCGATTGCTGGGAGATCAGTTGGAGGTATCAGAGTGAACACTGCCAGGGCCTTCTGTAGGGGAGGTCACTGATGAAGGGGTAGTAGCATCCTGCCAACCTCCATTAGCCTAGAAGGGAAAAAGGGAGAGAAGTCAGTCCTCTGAGATTGGGTGGCTGTTTTCAGCAGACAATGACAATGAGGCAACTTGTGTAAAGGACCTACCGCAGTGCCTGACACATAGAGACACTCATCAAATGGGCAACTATTACTGTGAGTGATAATATTCCCCCCACCCTCAAATAAGTTTGAGTTCTCCCAGTGAGCCTCTGGAGACGATGTTAATACCTCCCACTAGTATGATGTGTTTATACTTCTCAAAGACTCTGTAATTAAGTCCCAGCCAGCAGTGAAATAATGACAGCTGTCCTGTAGGTCAAGAGACTCAAGGTTTTGGTTCTGACTCTGGCAACAACTAGCTAATGTCGATGGTAAAGCACCTTCACCTATTTGACCTTAGTCTTCCTTTTTAAAAAACAAGAAGGTTGGCTCAAATGCTTTCTAGGATTCTTTCTGGCTCTGGATGTCCCATATACTTACGGGATTCCAGCTACCTATTCTACACAAGGTTCTACACTAGATGCTCATGGGTATATAATGGTGAGTGAGATGTAGTTCATGTCCTCAAGGAGGGAGATAAGCCCACGAATGAACTATAAATCAAGGCAGAACCTAATAAATGGTAGAGTCCCATTGTTATGAAGTTTCAAATGAAAACAATATCATATTTTGTTGCAACATCAGGAAATACTTCATAGAGGGACCACTCTTTGAGGTGAGTTTTGAAAGGTACAGAGGGTAATTCAGGTGACTGTAGCAGATACAACAATGGTGCCAAGGCCATAAGGACCGGTCAGTGTGAATATATCCAGAGAGGTGGTGAGATGAGAAGGTATAGGCTTGATCTATATTTGGAGATCATTTTTATAAGACTCTAGATCCAGGAGCATCCCAACAATAAAACTGTTAAAACCGTTCTAAAAAAAATCTGTTTAGTAACCATCCCTTTCAAAAAAATTCCAGCACTAAAATAGTTGAAGGATGCTATGCTATAGTGGTTAATTCATGATGCATAATTCATGATTGCTTATATGTTTTAAAGCATTGAAATATAAATGCGCTAAAATGCCTTTCCCCCCTTCAATTACTGTGTTCCTTTGGAGTTCAGGTTGAACAGATCAGGTCTGAGACATCTCTGGTAAAACGATTTCTATTGTACTATCCTCTCATTCTCTGAAAAATCTGGGGGAGATGGGGCAGGTATTATTGTTGCTGTTCGGGAGGGACCACAACCTCAACTCTTGCATACTCCACGGCACCTGGAGAGTGCCTGGCACTTGATAGGTGCTAGAAATGTCCGTTCCCATTTTATTCATAAGAGAGCAGAGGTGCAAGAGAAAACCAGGTGTCCTGGTTCATGACTGAGAACACAGGCCTCGAGACCTTTGAATCAGGCTCCATTTTCTCTGCGCTTTTCATCCACTTGGCTTTCTTTATCATTGGCTCACCCCTAGGATGCTCCAATTTTCCCAGAAAGCCAGGCTTTAAATTCAAAGCAGCTCCCACCAGTTACTTCAGCATCACGGTAGGTTTTGTTCACACCTCACTGAGAAGCAGTTCTGGATACTAAGAGGGCATCCTGAGCAATGCCAAGAACAGTGCTCCCCAGTCGCGGGTCAGCGAATAACTGCTCTCAAGTTCCAACCTCCCATCTCCTAATCCAGTCAAGTCTCTCCTCTTGCTCCTTTCCTCTGTTGGAGGACATTTCCCCTGCTGTTTGTGATAAAGAGATTAGATGGAGAACAGTAAAGAGGAAAAGAATTCTTTCTTTCATAACAGAAAGCTTTTCCAACTTTTGGGGGCAAAGACTCTGTAGTATAACCAGAATCAAGAACAGAATTAATTCAAATTCCTACTGCAAGTCTGTCACGGGGGTGATAATACTGTAGCCTCCCATCCCAATAAGAATATAGATTCTGGTGCCATTTTAGGCTAAGAGTGGCGGCTACGTTTATTTTTCCCAAAGAAGATCCTTGAATGTCATTTTTAAAAATAAAAATAAGATATACTTACTCTATAATATTTGGGAAATAAGAAAGCATAAAAAACAAAATATACAGCATGCACCCATAATTCTACTACTTGGGGAAAATTATTCAGCTTTGATTACACATATAATTACTTTGGTATCTGTTTCTCCTACTCGTTTTTATATGTGAATGTTTACCAGATAGATATTTAGATAGATAGATAGATAAGTAGATAGACAGGTAGATAGGTAGGTAGGTAGGTAGGTAGACAGACAGACAGACAGACAGGCAGGCAGGAGTGCATCTGTGGGGGCAGAAGGTAGGGGTTCTACTTTTTAGAGGAAGCATGTCACACTGGGGAATGCAGCAGGTTCCCAAGATAAGAAAATCTGGATTTCCAAAGCACAAAGATATTTGGAAACAAAGTGTTTCAGGAATAAAAATGATTCAGCAGTACAGAAATTTAAGAAAACATGGCAGAAGTTTTTAAGTACAATGTCATGAAGTAGAGTAAAATTCTGGTAAAAAAAGAAAAAAGGCATGTATCTTAGACTCAACCTGGTATAAAATAAGCAGATAAGGAAGCTTTATGAAAGCAGTGAGCATACATGTCATAGAACATGGAACAATGGAGTTCTATTACATTGCTCACAAATCACCACTCTAACTATCATTTAGCCATGCCATAATTCCATTAAGATAACAATAAGTGGCGCAAAAAATGAAGCCATTAGTAAAGAAAATTAGTTCTGTGGTGTTTCATTAAGAAGGAATTGACAAGGCATTCTATATTGCCCAGAAGGTTCTGGGAGACTTCTTGAGTCATCCCAGACCTGAAATAACTCAAACAGTAAAAATTTGATCTCTTTTCTTTAAAAAGTTCTGCTTTCTCAGACCAGTGTGTAAGATGTCAGGGAGTACAGAGAACCCACAGATGGTAGAAACAGGAATTATTTCAAGCTAATATCAAAACCAGCATTATATTATTCTAGTTGACCTAGTGAAGAATATATAAAACCTTCTAGCTAAAAGAAATACATTTTAAAAACCCTCTTTCACTCCCCTTTTTTCCACTCCCCCTCCAACCATAAATATTCACACAGATACACACACACACCCCCTCAGATTTGGTGACTATCCATCCCAGTTTGCCCAGGACTTTCCCATGTTAGTACCTAAAGTCTCAGATCCCAGTAGACCTCTACGGCCTGGGCAAAATGAGACTGAGACCCTGTTCCAGGATATGCCAGCTATGACCTCCCACTTCTCACCAAATTTAGGACATTGTAGCCAATAGGGTTTAAATTAGAGAAACACAAACACTTTTTAGAAGAAGCATGTCACGCTGGGGAATGTGGAAGAATTCTTTTCTCTAGAGGTGCTTTATAGGATGGTATATTATTTGCTGCTGTTACTGCTAAAACCATCATAAGATAGAAACTGTGAGCAAACTCAACTTAACCGGGTTTCCTGTAAATCACTTCGGCTGTTTCAGCTGTATCATTCTAGCTTTAATGTAAGACGTTCAGAGGCTGCACCGTCTTGGGAAACAGCTGACCTCGCTTACTGCCACGTTAACCCTGGGGAGCAATTCCTTCCCTCATCCTCACTGTGGGTGAATATTAAGTAGGAAACTCCGCCTTTGTGTGTTTATTTATCTCTGGGCACAGTAAGAGGAGAGGATGCTTTCATTAACAACCGTGCGGGGGTTGGGGGGTGGAAAATAAGACTTTTATTTTTATTTTTTTCTGCACCTCAGCTTCCCTCTCTACATTCTGCTGCAAACAATTCTTTGTAATGAACACACTCTTGGAAATGCTAATGTCATAAACCATACTGAGGGGTCACAGGGTGGGAGGTAAAATCTGCAAAACCAAAGGTACCCTTTTAATTGCTAAAAACGTTTTAATGGAAGAGTGTCTACATTTGCACTCAGTTTTATATAGGTAATTCTGTGGCCTGTGATGCAACACCTGGGAAGTGTGACCCAACGTAACTTTTCATTCTACCAAGTGAAGCCTAAGCCAGCAGAGCAGGCTCAACCTGGAGCTCACGAAGACAGAAGCTCATAGAATATAAAACTAGGACAAAATACAGTAGGTTCCCAAGATAAGAAAATCTGGATTTCCAAAACACAAAGATATTTGAAAACAAAGTATTTCAGGAATAAAAATGACTATTTACTCTATGGTCTACCCTAAAGAATTTGGCACATAATTTGCTATACATCAAATGTTGCTAGAACTTCATCTAAAAGGTAATGCAAAACATGCCTGTCAGAGGAGGTAGAGGGAGCTAGCTATTGAGCCAAGGATGGGGCAATGGCACATGAGAAAACCCACGTAGTTTCTCCTGACAGGACGCGCGACACAGAATTGCAACCCAAACCCTGCCTTTTCTCTACCACCCTCCTTGAACCACAACGGGGGCCATGGGTAGTAGCCTCTCCCTCCCTATTGTGGATCCAGTACTGCTTTTAGCACAGAGCAGTGGCTGCTGGGCTGAGAACCACCTGCCCCATCTCCTCTTTTTCCCACTCTTCCTCTGCGCTTACCTTAGCAGCACACCGTTGATGCAGAGAATTCATCACCTGATGTGACAGCCCAAGCAAGCCTGGCACTCAGAAACTCTCATTTGCAACCCAGAAATACGCTGAGGTGCCACAAACCGGCTGATGTCAGCACAGAGTGGAGCTAGATCTGCATATGGGCCAGATGCCATTACTAGAGATGCCTTCAGCGTGGGTGAGGAGCTGTACGTGCTCCAGCCCCTCAATCACCCAGTCACTGTTGGGGCCGGCCAGGAAGGAAAACAGAGAGACACGGATGCATCCTCTTTCCCTCTCTATGCAAACACACACAGGGCCACTATATATCAGGGAGACATCAGCTCACATAGTAGAGGTCACATCCTAGATTCATCATTCTTCTATCAAGCTAGAAGAAATATGTCTTCCTGATATGCTTAACACTTTCCCAAGATTACACAGAGAGCACTTTGAAAAGATGCTATTGGAAAGCCCCCTTAGGAATGTCAAAAG